TATTGCGGACAGCCTGACGTGTTACAATGTGGGGCCATCGAGGACAGCCGTCCATGTCTGCAGGTGAGGCTATCGCGGACAGCCGTGCATGTCTGCAGGTGAGGCTATCGCGGACAGCCGTGCCTTTTTGTAGGTGAGGCTATCGCGGACAGCCGTGCCTTTTTGTAGGTGAGGCTATCGCGGACAGCCCGACGTGTTACAGTGTGGGGCCATCGTGGACAGCCGTCCATGTCTGCAGGTGAGGCTATCGCGGACAGCCACGCACGTCTGCAGGTGAGACTATCGCGGACAGCCGTGCATGTCGGCATGTGAGGCTATCGCGGACAGCCTGACGTGTTACAATGTGGGGTTATCGCGGACAGCCGTCCATGTCTGCAGGTGAGGCTATCGCGGACAGCCGTGCCTTTTTGTAGCCTCGCTATCGCGGACAGCCGTGCATGTCTGGAGGTGAGGCTATCGCGGACAGCCGGGCATGTCTATAGGTGGGGCTATCTCGGACAGACTTGCATGTATGTAGGTAGGGCTATCGCGGACAGCCTGACGTGTCACAATGTGGGGCCATCGCGGACAGCCGGCCATGTCGGCAGGTGAGGCTATCGCGGACAACCGTGCCTTTTTGTAGGTGAGGCTATTGCGGACAGCCTGACGTGTTACAATGTGGGGCCATCGAGGACAGCCGTCCATGTCTGCAGGTGAGGCTATCGCGGACAGCCGTGCATGTCTGCAGGTGAGGCTATCGCGGACAGCCGTGCCTTTTTGTAGGTGAGGCTATCGCGGACAGCCGTGCCTTTTTGTAGGTGAGGCTATCGCGGACAGCCCGACGTGTTACAGTGTGGGGCCATCGTGGACAGCCGTCCATGTCTGCAGGTGAGGCTATCGCGGACAGCCACGCACGTCTGCAGGTGAGACTATGGCGGACAGCCGTGCATGTCGGCATGTGAGGCTATCGCGGACAGCCTGACGTGTTACAATGTGGGGTTATCGCGGACAGCCGTCCATGTCTGCAGGTGAGGCTATCGAGGACAGCCGAGCACGTCTGCAGGTGAGACTATCGCGGACAGCCGTGCATGTCGGCATGTGAGGCTATCGCGGACAGCCGTGCCTTTTGTAGGTGAGGCTTTCGCGGACAGCCGTGCACGTCTGCAGGTGAGACTATCGCGGATAGCTGTGCATGTGTGCAGGTGAGGCTATCGCGGACAGCCGTGCCTTTCTTATCCTCGCTAACGCGGACAGCCGTGCATGTCTGGAGGTGAGGTCTCGGACAGCCTTGCATGTATGTAGGTAGGGCTATTGCGGACAGCCTGACGTGTTACAATGTGCGGCCATCGCGGACAGCCGGCCATGTCTGCAAGTGAGGCTATCGCGGACAACCGTGCCTTTTTTAGGTGAGGCTATCGCCGACAGCCTGACGTGTCACAATGTGGGGCCAACGCGGACAGCCGTCCATGTCTGCAGGTGAGGCTATCGCGGACAGCCGTGCATGTCTGCAGGTGAGGCTATCGCGGACAGCCGTGCCTTTTGTAGGTGAGGCTATCGCGGGCAGTCTGACGGGTTACAATGTGGGGCCATCGCGGACAGCTGTCCATGTCTTCAGGTGAGGCCATCGCGGACAGCCGTGCATGCCTGCAGGTGAGGCTATCGCGGACAGCCTGACGTTACAATGTGGGGCCATCGCGGACAGCCGTGCCTTTTTGTAGGTGAGGCTATCGCGGACAGCCTGACGTGTGACAATGTGGGGCCGTCGCGGACAACCGTCCATGTCTGCAGGTGAGGCTATCGCGGACAGCCACGCACATCTGTAGGTGAGACTATCGCGGACAGCTGTGCATGTCGGCATGTGAGGCTATTGTGGACAGCCGTCCATGTCTGCAGGTGAGGCTATCGCGGACAGCCGCGCACGTCTGCAGGTGAGACTATCGTCGGTATGTGAGGCTATCGCGGACAGCCGTGCATGTCTGCAGGTGAGGCTATCGCGGACAGCCGTGCACGTCTGCAGGTGAGACTATCGCGGACAGCCGTGCATGTCGGTATGTGAGGCTATCGCGGACAGCCGTGCATGTCTGCAGGTGAGGCTATCGCGGACAGCCGTGCCTTTTTGTGGGTGAGGCTATCGCGGACAGCCTGACGTGTGACAATGTGGGGCCATCGCGGACAGCCGTCCATGTCTGCAGGTGAGGCTATCGCGGACAGCCACGCACGTCTGCAGGTGAGACTATCGCGGACAGCCGTGCATGTCATGTCGGCATGTGAGGCTATCGCGGACAGCCGTGCCTTTTTGTAGGTGAGGCTATCGCGGACAGCCGTGCCTGTTTGTAGGTGGGGCTATCGCGGACAGCCGTGCATGTGTGTAGATGCAGCTATCACAAACAGCCGTTGATGTCTGTAGGGGAGTCTAAGTGGACAGGTGAGGGGATGGGACAGGGCCACTACTGCAAACAGGCGCCGCCGGGGGTGTCTGCCGACCCCTTATTATTTCTCAGCCTTGGCGCCGGGTCGGAAATGCATCTTTGCGTCACAGTCTGGCGCTGCCAACTGGTGTCAGGTAGGTGCGCGTTCCGTGTAGGTATACGGTCGGTGGACAGGCTCATGGCGGCAATGCAGCATAGCAGCAGGCATATACGTGCATCCACAGTGTGGCACATTGCCAGCAGTGACCTGACCCCCAGTCGGTCCGCTGCAGACCGGTGAAAGGCAACACCCCCGATCAACGGCAGTCCGACCGCCGGCCACAGGCCCGTCATGGCCTTTCAAGGGCAGCTGACGTCACGCCGGATGAGTCACCCGGCCGCCCCCGGTGCGGAGGACGGTCAAGTGTCACACGCCCGCGCCTGCGCCGCTGGCAACCACGTGACCATCAGTAGCTATTGTTGCTGCCGCCGCCCGCGGCGCTACCAGCGTTGGAAGTGCCACGTAGAGCTGACGTCACGATCACGCTATGGCTGGTCGGACCCGCCAAGATGGCGTCAGGGCGACAGGGCATTGGGCGTAGGCCATGGACATCAATACTGATGCCAGGCAAGCAAAGAGTATATAGGGCTAAAAATGCATGGCAGGCTAAGAAACGTCAATGACTGGGGCCAGGCAAGCAATGACATTGGTGGAAAGAACCATTGTAGGTAGGTACGGAAGAGGAGGTCATCCTGGTTGGCCGGGCACAAGATAAATGTACAGAAAGTCACAGGTTCATACACTGAGCAAATCACACCGGGGTGAGCTGCTCCCCAGGCACATTGCAGGTGGTGAGACACCTGATTGCAGTCAGTGTGGGGCTCGTTATGGTCAGTAATGTGGCGCACGGCGCACGGCCTCGGCTAGGGGGGGGGGGGCGATGGGGGCAAACTCTTATCATGTATGCTATATTGAATCGCCGTTAGCGATCACGTGAGTGAGTAAGGTGCAAGTGGCAATCACCACCGGCGTGTTATGGGACGCGGCGAGGAACGGGCGAGACAAAATGGCGCCCGGCGCCGGGGGGGGGGGGGGTAATCTCCCCATGCACGCGGTGAAAGCCGTCGACAGACCTAGTTAGGTAGCAGGGAATGTCCAGTAACATACCTGCAGTTTTTGCTGGCGAGGGGCCATCGCGACCACAGTAGGATCCTAGTTTTACTCTCGCTGATGCACGTTGGTGTGGAACTCGTTCGGCGTAGGAAGACTATGGTGGTGATGTTTGCCAGCGTTGCCTTTCTTTCACGGATTTGTTTTCTTGTTGGATTTTGCTGCTCACATATCGATTCACACATACATCACTCGCACTCAAGACTGAACAGTGAACATTCAACTCGACTAATGTGCCCCGCGCCCTCGCCGACGGCTCGCCGGCGGGCACCCGACTCCGTCTCCCGGCCGGCCCGGGCGCGGCGCCGCGGCGCGGCCGTCCCGGTTACCTGACCCGGCCGGCCAAAGGTCGGACCGGCTCCGGCCGCCGCTGTCAGCCCGCGGCGGGCCCGGGGAGGGGTACTACACTACATTCTTCCATTGTCGTGGTAACATGCTTGGTGATGGCAAACATTGGCATGATTTCTTTCCCATTAATATTAAAGTATTGCCTGATTATCTCGTCTAGTGCTGCCATCTGTCGAATGTTGTTCTCCCTAGTTGTTCTTCCTAGGGGTCGCCGCAGTCTGCCCCGCCGCAGTCTGCCCCGACACTAATGTTCCGTGATTATCGCCGGCTCTAATACGGTCCCATTCCCGTACGTCGTAACTCTATAATGACCTTTGCTTATTGTCACATGTGCGCCGCATTCGCGATTGTTGCCGACGCCTGTTTGCAGGTCAGCCCACTACAGTTGTTATACATACATATCGAAAAACCGATAAACTTTTAGGCGAAAAAAGCACTATTTTAGGCCCATTTTTGATTTTCTTTGCGATATTAGGTAAAAACAGAAGCTTCTTATCCTAGGAAAAATAAAATGGGAAATCATTGGAAGGTGGCACATTACCTTTAAAGCTGCATTTTGTAACGTGGCTGCCGTGGATAAGTACCGATAACAATGGGTGAATGCAGGCGACTTTTGGCTTTTGGTCGCGATCCAAGATTCATTTCAAATTAAGTTTTGCGCAATTTTCAGCCTATGCTTGATGATGTTTGCTTTGGCAGGCAAAATGGTTTTCTCCTTCTCCTCTGTCGCGTTTGTCTGTTTGAGCTTTGATGGTCGGGTTGCCCCGAGCCCCATCTAGCAGCTAGAGCAGTTCGCTTCCTACAGGTCACCTTCAGAGACGGATCAGCAGGCACGAAGGTCGGTCCGCTACCAGCCTCCGGTGATCAGGAAAATAAATGAATTATACAGCGAAAGCGAGATAACTTTTAGAAATATGAGTTCCCGCCCGGAAGAGTCTGTGATATGATTAATCTGCACCTCATTTGGGAAGTGAAAATGAACCCTGATCTTTTCAACCATCGCACAGATAGGAAACAGCCCTGCCGGAAAATATATTCCGAACTCCCGTATTTGTTTGAACCTAGATCTGCCATTTCGCACGACTGACAACACCCATTGCATTTATTGGAAGCATCACATAAAGAAATAAATACAGTCAGTGTTTTGATATTATGACAGATAACATTTTCCGCAGAAAAAAAGCAACTTTGTATTTACTCACAGCCGGATTCAGCGACAATAAGCCGTGCATTTCCTAACCCAAAAAGTACGATATTCGTGCGACAAATTAGTGCCGTCGAATTTCTCTTTGCCTGGCTGGCTTAACACCAACTGATGGCCAGCCGCCTGTAGAGCTCTCAACTGCTTCAAATAGCCTCTCAAACTGTGTCCATATGACGGCTCGTCCTTATCAGCAGAACCTTCATAGACTTTTCGTGGGAATCGTAGCGTCATTGCTAGTTGTGGTATCTTCCGCAGCGTGGCGCCACTGCCGCTTTGTTGCAGCAAGACGCCCCATCCGTCAAGCACATTCATCTTCAGATAGTCAATCTGATGTCGCTGATGTCCCGCCTCTTGCACTAGGTCATCAAAGCTAAACATATCGTACTCGCGATTATTGTAACTCATAACATGTGAATTCCCGGCCAGTCCAATTGGATGCACGTGCACGTGCTCAGGAATGTACGATGCGTTCACCTGCTGCAGCGGATCAAACACATGCACTGTGCACCCGAACTTTGCCAGCTCCGTCTCAAACGAGAGACCGGCCTCGATGCCTGCTGAGTAAACGAGACATGGCTTCCCCGGCAGGAGCAGGCCCTTTCCCAGACAAACGGGCGTTCTGGGGTCCATGAGCGGCGTCACCCCACATGAGTCGTCGCCGGAGATGTCGTCACAGCCACACCTGCCTCCAGGGTAGATGGTACTCCGACAGACAGACCTCTGACTGGCCGGGGATAGCAACTGAGCCAGCTGAGTGACCACCTCAGGCGGCGAGAGAGACGCGACGTCCGAGACATCAGACGACACGGATCTCTTGTTCCGGACATGCGCACTGGAAGAGGAAAAGCATAAAGTCCTCTGTTTTGGTCTTCGTTGTACGATTGAATGCCAGTACTTTTTGCTATAGGTATTACTAGCCTATGCATGAAAAACATCAGCTGAAGTTTAAGCCCAAGCTGATAAGCTGATGTGATAATCTGAAGCTTTGTTTATGGTCTCCTATAATTTTATTCCTTCTTGGTTTCCCAATTATTTCAATAAAACTCAGACATGTCACCACGGTGCTCATTGCTGATAACCATTCCCACTCACCTGTTGCCTGTAATGTGGTCTTTCGTCGGCTGTTGAGATGTTATCACTAGCAGTGTGACAGCGGAGCCAAAAAGTGCCGCTGCCACCAATCGTGGTAAACTTCTATTCTTTGGCAGCATTCTGGCCGACTGGCCTTCGCTTCACGTCACTCGCTGTGGAAATATTCATCGTCAAGTATTTGTATATGTACACTGTAAAAACTAGTTATCCGGCCACCTTTCACTATCAAAATGCGAGTAGACTTCACTTTTCACTTACAAAATGTGAGTACACTTCAATTCTACTCGCATTTTGTTAGTGAAAAGTGGCCGGATAACTAGGAAATTAGTAAACGTTTTTGTTACAGCGTAGTTAAGCTTTGCAATCCCTTATTCTTGTATTTTAGTAAGTTTTTAAGGAAGCAAACATGCTCATAAACGTATCAAACGTATTAAATTTGTATGCAATCATTCTAACGAATGCACTTTAGAGTTATTTAGGGCCTTTTTCTATACGGGCAAATCTCAGGACCGTGGTATGATGATGAGGGATCCAGATTTTGCTGAATAAGATTGGTTTTTATCTATACGTTAATGTTCTCATGATTAGTTACCTACTCGTACATAATAAAGGTCATCAGACAGTAAATTGAACAGCATGCAGCGGGGCGAGAGAAAGAGCGAAAATCTCACCTAGTGTACTGACGCTGTTTATATTTTACATCCGCTCCACACCATGTTCTGAGTCCGGCGCACGCTACCAATGCTCCGCACTCCAAGCCGCACTCTCTCAAGCACAAGCACACGTGATTGCAGCGTCCGGCAGTAGCGACTGGTGTTCGTCTGTGCAGCGCTGAATGCCGCCGCCGCCAGCCGGTGAGGTTAGTGAACCCAGCGCCGCCGCCTGAGGCGCATGTTGAGCCCGCACTTGCATGGGCGCGAGATGAACACACTGCTCCGAGTGGAGAGAGCGGTAGAAGGAAAGAGATGGAGAGTGGGTGGAAAGAGAAGGGAGGTGTGTAAAGGGGCGGAGAGGGACACGGAACGAGGATGGAGATGTTTGGAGGGATGGGAAGGGTGTGGAAAAAGTGGGTGTGGACAGCGGGCGCGGGGAGAGTCAGAAATCGGTGCGGGAAGGGACTGAGATGATTGCAACGAGGGTGCAGAATGATGCCGAGGGAGACCAAGAGAGACAGAGACAGAGAAAGAGAGACAGACAGAGAGAGAGAGAGAGAGAGAGAGAGAGAGAGAGAGAGAGAGAGAGATTTGGAAAGAGGTCAGGAGGAAGCGATTCAATTGCCTTGGCTTGATGACCATTTTTATGGTCGACTTTTAATGTCATGTTTTGATTGTTCACCCATTCATTCGACTTGTTGCGATAAGAGGAATGCGAAGATTCCTCTGTTCCCAATAGCTAGACCTATGTATGAAGAAAATTATCTCGTCTTATTTCAACTCTGTCAATATGTTGCTGAACTGGTCTTACAATTGCCCATCGAATGTCTTTTCTCGCCTTCTAAACTTCCTGCTCGTAAGCCGCACTATTGTTTGTCGGATAATTGTCGGCATGTGGGAAACCATAAAATGAGGTATTCGGTGATAGTGCTGCTGGTGTTCTTTTCGCCTAAAGAAGTAATTGGGATAGATATAGTAAATTTTAAAATCTCGTTTGCCGTTTTTCAGTGCGCTCCTAAGCTTTCGAGATCTAGCGCGGAGCAGGCAACTACTCCCGCTCGCTCAGAATTTAGACCGCCATCCACACGAAAGAACAGCTCAGGCCAGGTCGAGGCTCCACTTTTAAATAAAGGGGAGACCCGGGAGGTATGGGCCCCCTGGAGGTATGGGCCATCGCAGTTTTGAAGAAGTGTTGCGTATTTTTACACATTTGACCGCGTAAACTGGTAGCAGCCATTCCGTTATTTGTACAACCCACGTGATTTTCAAAATCTTCCTCAGTCTTCTTTGGCAATGAGCGGTGATAAGGCGTTTTTGCCCTCTTCGAGTAAAATACTGTACATTCAGAACATTCGTGATAAATTTGAACCAGGCTCGTTTTATGATGTCAGACCAATGCTAACACAGTTTAAAGCATGCAAATTAAGGCTGGATAGACAATTTGAAGCTTTCTTGCAAGATTATGGGCTGAGATGCTACACGCAAATTCTGGCGTCCTAGCCGGGAGGTTCTGGCCACCCACCCCCGTTGATCCTAAATCAATAAAAAGATGCTTTCATTAATGAAGACAAGCGTAGCAGCATAGCTATCGCCAACAAGATTTGCAATTTCATGTTTTATTTTAGACAACACTACCTAGTTAACTTTCATTACCCACCTCTCGTGTCCACTCATCACACCAGTACCTACTTCTCCTCAGATTCAAGGATAAAGCACACAAGACCGGCCTATACCGGGCACCTTGTCCCTGACCGTGAAGGTCAGTCATGGGAGGCATAAAAGCGGGAGCGGCTGGGAAGACGGCACCAGTCTGCTGACACATTCAGTTCGTGACCACCGGACTCCTACACCCGCAGCCATGAAGCTGGTGAGTGCCATATTGCGGATAATGAAGATGATGTGTTTTGTTACAAATATTCAAATATGACGCAAAAATGTTGATAAAATAGCGGTGTAAAAAGAATATGCGTTACCAATTATTTGAAAACCATTTGCTACTGCTCTAGTTAGTTATGAGCATACAGTATGCACTTCATTTCCTATTAGCTGTATTCATTTTTTGAACTAATCACATTGCCTTTCCGCAGATTGTGCTGTTCGCCTTTGTGGCTGTGGCCGCCGCCGCTCCTCAGAACCAGCCTCTGGTCAAGATTCTGAGCCAGTCGTTCGATCAGGATGACCAGGGCAGCTACCAGTACGCCTACGAGCTCGACAACGGACAGAGGGTACGTACGTAAACGTATTCTGAAAAAGTCCTTAGACATTGACTTTATATATCTGCATTCTACAATATCCCAATATTTTACCCATGCCTTCTGGTCGAAGGAAATAGCCACATTCGAAGGTTGCATAGGGTTTTTTCGCCTTCCTCTCAGAACCAACCCCGCGTTCGATGTCTGTCGGACGACGAAGATTCTACATACATACGTCGTCCGGCAACCCCGTTCAAGGCCAGCGGGGGCTCGGCTGCGGTTATGGAACGTGATTGGCCGGACGGCGTAGAAACTTCGTCGTCCGAGAGACATCGAACGCGGGGCAAGTATCGGTCGCCAATTATGTTCGTATACTGGTCAAATAAGATAAGCGTTTCTACTTAACAATTTTGCTAACATATGCGTTTTATTTTCAGGCTGACGAGGCTGGCCAGTCTATCCCCGGCCCGGAGCCCGAGACGGGATCCATCGACGTCCAGGGCTCCTACGCCTTCCTCGCCGACGACGGCAACACCTACTCGGTGTCGTACCGGGCCAACGAGGGTGGCTACCAGCCTGAGGCCGACTTCCTGCCGGTGGCTCCTGCCCAGATCCCCGAGTACGCGCAGCTGCGCCAGGAGCACCCGGAGCTCTTCTGGGCCGAGACCCAGTAAACCTGTGATATGTCTTTCTCCATTACCACATTTGAAGCTCATTCATTCTTTGTGATCTTCTCTCGATGCCATGATCATTTTTGCTGATCTTGTATAATAAATGATTCAGTTACGGTATAGTTTGTTCGTGATTGTTTTATTGTACATATACCATTGCAAACTCTAAACACACCACACCTGGGCTGACAGCGGTTGCAGTTTCATGCAATTATTCGGAACACATTCGGAACGAAAAACTCGCACCACTGCGGAAGCTCAACCATGACACATTGAAATGTGGGAGGATGTATTTAACCCCCACCCCTCCCCAGTTCTGATTTTGCGCCTTATGTGGTATCCGGAAGAACGTCAAATATTTTGAAGGATTATTTTGGCATAAAATGCTGCGTCATTTTAGTCCAGTTTAACCAGCGCATGACTAGGGTATTTTCCATAACGCGAGTGACTGGGGGGGGGGGCTCTCCCGAGCCCTCCCCTCCAATCTCCGAAACTACTGGGCCGTTCGTTAAAATTCAAACGGCGTCTGATAGTCCTGGAAAAACTGTCGAATGAAATTTATTTTCATTGACCTGGAGGTCACCGATGACGTCAAAGGTCAGGTCAAAGTAAAAATTGTCGGCATTTTCCTTGTTCACAATTTAGGCTCTGGCCGCCGGCTGACAAGTCCGATCATGCTCATTTTTGGTTTACGCACTTAGATACGCACTTGCCTTAGATACCCTGAGGGTACCTACGTAGCTTTAACTTCGAATTTTTCAGGTCAAGGCCAGGTCATCCTTGGTCACAAAAATCAAAAACTTGGCTATTTTTGAAGATATTGGGCTAAAACTTGCTAGAGTAGTTTATCAGTGTTTTTTTCTATTACATGTATTCCAATTTTTGCGAGAAATCAAAAATTAAAAAAAAATCAATAAAAATATTTTTTGTATTTATAAAAACATATTTACAAAATCAAAAACTCGAAAATTTGAGATAACAGTTTGGTAGCTACGTATATTTGTAGTCCACCAATGCAAAAAAAGATCTAGCTTTAAAACTAAGCTCTTGAGGGCGTTTACCGTAATTAAATATTTTGCATCAAAATCGGCCGACATGACGTCCCTCTGACGTCATTTCCGACCAAACTATTGTAGCTAGAAAATTGAAATTTTAACACAAGGTGTAAACGTACTTTAACTTCGAATTTTTCAGGTCAAGGCCAGGTCATCCTTGGTCACAAAAATTGTATATCATGTTTCGGTCATGTGACGCATGTTTTATGGTCCATTTTACTCGTAGATTTCGAAATCAATGTCGTCTGTGTCATTTGCGGTCATTCTCAGCTGAATTTACAGGTCAGGTCACTTTCAGGTCAAAAAGGTCAAATTTGAAAATGACATTTTCAACAAAAAAGGTGTCTTTCACATGCAGTTTGAGCTCAGAAACACGATGGTGCCATTTATATTGTTGTACGATGTCAAAAACATACTAAAAACGGCTTTCAAAAATATACAATTGTAAAATTTTGACAATAATGCAAAAAACTTGGCTATTTTTGAAGATATTGGGCTAAAACTTGCTAGAGTAGTTTATCAGTGTTTGTTTTATTACATGTATTCCAATTTTTGCGAGAAATCAAAAATTCAAAAATAATCAATAAACATATTTTTTGTATTTATAAAAACATATTTACAAAATCAAAAACTCGAAAATTTGAGATAACCGTTTGGTAGCTACGTATATTTGTAGTCCATCAATGCAAAGAAATTGGATCTAGCTTTAAAACTAAGCTCTTGAGGGCGTTTGCCGTAACTAAATGTTTTGCATCAAAATCGGCCGACATGACGTCCCTCTGACGTCATTTCCGACCAAACTATTGTAGCTAGAAAATTGACCTCTGTGTGCCCCTTCTTCCCGGACAAGCCATACTGACGACGGGCAGCGGCAGCGCTACCTCATCCACCCACCGCACCTGACTCTGCGACAGACCGAAGCAGTGATGAGAGCTGCTTCTGCCGGTGCAACTCCCCCTACTACATCTACATCATCAAACATCACCATCGAGCTGCTGAATGTTCAGTCGCTTCTGCCTAAGCTCCCTGACATCGAAGCGAAACTTCAGCAGAGAGACTCGGACATCATTTGTTTCACTGAGACAAACCTCAAGACCGGGACACCGAGCCGCCTCGTCAGCCTACCGGGCTACAGGCTGTACCGGCAGGACAGGATGCTGGGACGGAAGAAGGCAGGAGGCGGTGTTGCAATTTACATCCGCGACGCCCTGCACGCCACCCGTATCGACACACCAGCGCCCTCTGGACCGTCCCACACCGAGTCTATATGGCTCAGCGTCAAGTTAAACAAGCAGCGAGCTACCACCATAGGCTGCATATATCGACCACCATCTACCAGTTCCACTCAGGTTGAAGCTGACTACCTCCACATCAATGAGCAGCTACAGACCGTGATTACCGCCCACCCGACTCAGAGGATCGTACTGGCCGGAGACTTAAATTCCGATGCCGTCACGAACCCGGTCGGTCACCGTCGCCTCTCCGAGCTGGAGCAGCGCTTTGGACTTGGTAATGTTGTACGCCAGGCCACATTCTGTCGCGGTGACGTCCAGTCTATTCTGGACGTGATGCTGCTGTCACGAGAGTTGTGCGAGGCCAGCGTCCCACCACAGTGCACTGTCGAGAGTTGTCACTTTGTTAGCCACCACCGCCGTGTCGTTACCTGCCTGTTTGTACCGCGTGCAAAACGTATGCCGGTGTACCGGACAGGGCGCGACTGGAGGTCATTTGACAGGGAGGCATTTCTCACTGATGTCGAACATGTTGACTGGCACGCAACCGTCCCTAGAGATGCTTCCTGCGATTTACAGTGGGATGCATTTGAGGGGGCCGTGGGCCAGTTGTTGAACAAACATGTTCCAATGCGTAAGTTTAAGGTTCACAACCCCGTGCCTCCACCTGTCAGCCAGGATACGCAGGAGCTTATGGCTCAGCGCAGAGAGGCCCTTCTCAATCGTGACACTGACGCATATCAGAGGCTGAATGTGTTGACGAAGCGAGCAATTCGTAAGGATAGGAGAGATGACATCGCAGAACGTGTTCGTAATAGCCCTGCCTCTGGTCTATTTAGGCAACTGAAGTCAGTTATTGCACCTAAGCGCGGTCCCTCAGTATCTCCTGTCAGCTTAACTGCCTCAGAGCTTAACAACTACTTCTGTTCTATAGGCAGGTCTACTCGTGACGCAGTGGTGACAGAGTTTGAACGTTCTGGTCGCCAGCCGCTGGATGTTAGACTCCCTCGCATCCATACAGGGGCTCTACACATCATACCAGTCACGCTTGACCAGCTCCACAGAGTGATCCTTAGTATGCCGGATAGGGACACATGCGTGCCGGGTGACATACCAGTTAGGATTTTAAAGCTGTGTTTAACCACATCGGCCGCCATTTACTACGAATCATCAATACTAGTCTAGTCACAGAGCACGTTCCCGCTAGCTGGAAGCGAGCGGTTGTTATCCCTCTCCATAAGAGAGGAGACCCGTCACTGACATCGAACTTTCGACCTATCACCAATGTGCCAACTGTGTGCAAACTCATCGAGAAGTTAGTTCATCATCAGATCAATACTTACCTTGAACATCACTGCCTTTTTAGTCCGGAACAGCATGGTTTTATGTCAGATCATTCCACAACCACAGCTCTTTTATCCATGACTGACCAAATCCTGGACGGCATGGACCAGTCCCAGGTAACTCTTCTCGCACTAATCGACCTCAGCCGTTGTTTTGATGTCGTAGACCACGTTACACTGCTGACTAGCCTAGAACAGCTCCAGATTTCAACCGGATGGATCAGGAGTTATCTGTCAGGCCACACACAGCGCGTACGGCTGGGAGACACTTTCTCGGACCCCCTACCCATTGACATCGGCACATTCCAGGGCTCCTGCCTTGGGCCCCTGTTATTCAACATCGTCAGCAACAACATCAGCTGCTACATACCATCCACCATCAACGACTTCCACACCTTCTCAGTTCGTTATGCTGACGACACCCAGGTGGCCATCACGGGTCCTCGCAGCAGACTACCCGATCTGAAGCTGTCTCTGGAGAGCTTGTTAGACGTGCTGTGTACATGGTTTTCCCAGCACGGCATGATGGTGAACGCCAGCAAGACGGAGCTGCTCATGTGTGGCGACCGTCGCCAGCTGTCTCAGATCGGAGAACCACCTCAGATCGAGTTTATGGGTCAAACACTTCCTCTGTCAAGCACAGTGAAGAACTTAGGAGTTGTCATGGACTCTGAACTTTCTTGGGAATCACATTTCAACACCATCATCAACCGCTGTTTCGGCATTCTTATCGGTCTCATGCACATCAGACATATCATTCCACACTCTGTTTTACCTCGCCTTGTCGATTCTCTCGTTTTCTCACACATACGTTACTGTGCGCCCGTCTTCGGTAGCGCCAATCGCACGGCCATAGCCAGGCTGCAGAAGGTCTTCAACTTTTCAGCCCGAGTCATTGCCGGGAGACGGAAATTCGAGCACATTTCTGATGTGCTCGAGGAACTTGCGTGGCTGCCTGCTGCTGATTTTATAGCACATGCCGACCTGTCACTGATCCATAGCATTCTTACATCTGGAAAGCCTCATCTTTTACGCTCTTATCTCTCTTACAACCACGAACACGTATGTCGGGATACTAGACAATCACACCTATTAGCTCTGTCACGTGTGAAACAACCATGGCAAGCGTCGATTTACGTACCGTGCTGCGTCCCTGTACAACCGAACAGCGTTGAACAATGGCTTTGCTGGCCTTAGTAAGTCAGTGTTCAAGTCCAAGATCAGGAACGTGCTGCGACTGAGTGGTACCGCCGGGTAGGATATTTACCTACTGTCATTGTCATTGTATCGCGCTACTGTGATCTTATAGTTTACTTGTCATCTTCATGTGTTTCGTACTGTTATGACGATGATCGGAGAAAAGCCCTGCCTTATAGTGGATCGATCTGATGATGTTTAATAAATAAATAAATAAATAAATAAGTTTTGGCATCGTTCGCGTGCCACTTCTGACTGTTGTTCCTGTGGACGTCTCTCGAGGCAGCACACGGAGAGGAATCATCGTCCCCCTCCCTCCCCCTTCCGTCCCCCTCCCTCACCTTCTTTCCCCCGATAGAGCCATGCATCTTGGCTAGATATATAACAAACAGACTGACACGATATCCAACAGATGATGCTGAGAAAAAATGCAGCCCATTTGTCTCGTGTTTGCAAGCACGTATAAATATTTCAAATGCATGTATTGTCACATATGGAGCGAAGGCGAACAAAATGGTAGGTGATCATGTGTTTGGCTGAAACGGAGTGAAAATTGGCACAAGAGAAAGTATGTAACCAGCACTTCAGTTACTGGGTCTCGGCCCAGAAGAGCTCCGGGTGCTCCTGGCGCAGCTGCGCGTACTCGGGGATCTGGGAAGGAGCCACCGGCAGGAAGTCGGCCTGAGGCTGGTAGCCACCCTCGTTGGCCCGGTACGACACCGAGTAGGTGTTGCCGTCGTCGGCGAGGAAGGCGTAGGAGCCCTGGACGTCGATGGATCCCGTCTCGGGCTCCGGGCCGGGGATAGACTGGCCAGCCTCGTCAGCCTGAAAATAAGAAACAAATCGTGTAAAAGAACGTAAACATTGAGACAAAAACTATTTCGAAATCAACAATAATTGAACTTCGTGAGAACTTTGTACACGTAACTGTATGCCCGAGAAGTGTCATGATCTAATGTAGCTAGAGTTTCGAAACTCACCCTCTGTCCGTTGTCGAGCTCGTAGGCGTACTGGTAGCTGCCCTGGTCATCCTGATCGAACGACTGGCTCAGAATCTTGACCAGAGGCTGGTTCTGAGGGGCGGCGGCGGCCACAGCCACAAAGGCGAACAGAACAATCTGCGAAATGGCAATGTGTTTGACGGGAAACAGTGTTCATACATCGTTCGGCCGATTCAAAATGTACTATAGATACGGCAAATATAAAATGCAAATGTATGTAGTTACAAAAGTAAGGTGTTTATAACCACCAAAAAAGCAACAAATAGTTCTTGTGAACAAGAATAAGTACATACAACGTGCATTTTTGTCTGTTAATTCGTTTTTTTTAAATTTGCAACATATCTTTTTAAAAGTATTCAACAACATATATGTTACATTATCCGCAGTGATGTCACTCACCAGCTTCATGGCTGTGGGTGTGAGAGTCCGGTGGTCACGAACTGAATGTGTCAGCAGACTGGTGCCGTCTTCCCAGTCGCTCCCGCTTTTATGCTTCCTTCACTGACCTTGACGATCATGGACAACGTGAAGAATCTCAAACGACCGGTGGATGCCCTGCAGAGACTCTTCGGGACAAATTTGTAAATCGGTCAGATTTTGTTGAAATGTAGGTGTAACTGGGAATTAACCCTCGCATGTGTAAGGGGGTCGGATGGATCCCCCCATGTTTTTTCGCGAATAACTCGCGTAAAAAGCGGCTGATCGCGACGAAACTGTCAGTACCCTCGCATTGGTCAATTTTACACCTACCCTGAAAATTTCATGACCCTGACCCAAATGACCTTTGACCTGTGACCTCTTTTCCATGTTTGGCCGGAATCGCGATTCCGCGTATGTCGGCTCGCATTAGCCGCGCGTTTGTAAGCTTTTCGTGTTTTATTCACGATCGATGGCGAAAAAACTCGTGAATAAAACTCGATCGTGAATAAAACTCAATCATGTCTGATCATTTACAAGCTTTTCGTGGTTTCAAACGCTCAAACATGTGATTTGATGCTGCTCCCATGCATTAGGGTGGGTGTCAAGGTCACCTGAAGGTCAGGTCAGGTCATTGACCTTTGGTGAACTCGGTTCACTTTTTCGAGTTTTACATGTTTCTAGGCTAGTTTTTGGAGCTGAATTCGAATTTAGCAACCATTTGAACATTTACTAGGGGAAGTTGGGGGAACGCCGAAGACTTTTTTTCTGACGCCCGTAGCACGCAAGGTAGACAACATAAGCTATTCTTGTTGGCGTCATTCGAGAGGCCAGTCTTTTGCCTTTCAAACATACCAGGCGCATTTGATGAATTCGCATACCGTTAAGCGCACAAACTAAAAATATCAAAGAAGTGACTTTTTCGGCGTTGCCCCGGACTGCGGGGAAAGCCGAAAATGGGAGAAATGATCTACGGGGAATGCCGACATTGATGTTTTGCCATTTTATCTCAAACTTTATCCAGAATTGATCAAAGCTGACACGCGTTTTAAGAGCTTGAGGACGCGGTGCACACTGCAAGTTATAATTGTGTGATATAATAAGAACATGCCAGGTAAATCATTCCTTATAGGTAACAGGCCGTTGTGTCGGTTGAAAGTGTAAGTTGTGTGACTAAAAATACGCGTTGCTATTCTACAGCAGTAAAGTCCACGTAGCGTGCTTTTAACACGTGCGTAATCGCACGTTTTCGGCATTACCCCAGCCTGCCATACTTTCATTTGCAGGCCCATAACTTTTCAACGTGCTGTATAAATTTCAAATAGGCAGCACACTTATGCAAAGACATGCTAAAGATTACTTGACCGAATTGGCCAGACAAACGGTAGCATAATGAGTAAGAAATGCAGCTTCAAAGGCGCATGTAGTACAAGGGAAACGTATCTTGAAAACGCTCTTGGCGCCCTCACAGTCGAAGTATTCCGAATGACGACTCGTAACAAACATGCGATAATTGTAGTCACTTAAGCTTCAGAGCATCACTGACAGGTGGCATCCATGTCTTACGGTTTTCGAAATATCTCGAATTTCGGCTTTGCCCCAACTCCGGCATTGCCCCAACTTCCCCTAAGTAGTTTTGGTGACTTCGTAACATGTTACGAAGCTGTCAGAGGCGGTTGACACGTACTACGAATACCCGTCACGACGCCTACTGGTTGACCTGACCTGACCTGACCCGACCTGGTCTAAATGCGGACATCATTTGTGATCAAAACTAACACAATATTCGTGATCAGCGTTTAGCAGCCCCACTTTACGACTTTCTAACAGGTCCCGATTTTCCCGGCCTTGGGTCATTGACCTGACCTGGAAGGTCAACCAATGACCAAGGACCTTAAAATTAGATATCATCGGCTTCCTCTCGTCACGGGCAACACGCTCGTTTTTCCGCGAAGCTCTAGCTCGATCAGGGGCCAAACGGCAAGGGGGGTCCAACCGACCCCCCCCCCCCTACACATTAGAAGCTGGCAAACGCCGCACACATGCGAGGGTTAAGTTACCAGTATAACGCCTTTTGGGGCGACTAACGGAGCGAGCGAGAGGGTGGGCCTAGCACTTGCAAAATTGTGAGGGGGTACCTCCAACTGACTTGTGCACGGCAACCTACTAACTGGTCCCTAACCGTGTACCAAATTTGAGCGCCATCGGTCCAGCCATTCTTGAGATCTGGAAACGACCCCTGCACGTGTGCACGTGCATCAGCACACCAACTCTGGCACATGGATATGCATTGCCTAGTGAGTGCCTATACCTACATGCCAACTTTCAGCGCAATCGGCCAAGTAGTTACCGAGAAAGTGCAACTATTACAAAAGTAACACCTCTTCGTTCTCAATCGTGTCTGAAATTTGGTGGCGACACGTGCCACGGTGCTCACGCTAATAACGAAAAACTTTGTAATTCCGTTGCCGCTAAACCAAGAAGTCCAATTCTATCCTCACCTTTTACCGGTTTTTGTGACCTGCACTCAAAACTTTTTTACCACCTCCTGGAGGATTCATTTTCACCAAACCCGCAAGATAAGAGTATATTGAAAGGGTACCTCGCTGCTACCATTATGTGCATGGTAACGGTACGTGGTTCAATTGAAGTTATTCGCCAGCAAAGAGTGTTATTACCATGTAGGGGAAGGTGGGGTAAGACGGACCAGCTAAGGTTTGAGGCCGCATATCTTGCTACACTGCTCTCGTAATTCATATTATTTATAGTCTTCGGAATGCTCAATCCTTCCTCTGTTGATATGCGTAAAGACTAAATTTCAAGTTAAAGACATCTAGGTCGTGGATGCTCTTAAAGAGGGATATGTCAAAAACTCAGACAAGAAAAAACGTGGGGTAAGACGGACCACCCAGCAGTGCCTGCTATCCGTTCATGTGTGTTACACTTCTGCTCTGTACTCTTGTAAGAAAAAGTAACCAGAATGGTAAAATAACAAAATAAGTCTTTATTCTTTACTCATGTGTGATGGAAGTGCAGCTAAAAGCTGGGAACATGTGTGTTGATTGTCGTTTGGCATGAATGCATGCTAACTGAGCACTTGCATGCATGGCTCACATGCAACAAAGACTCCTTCCTGAAAAATTAGCTTACGTAAACTTGTGTCAATGTTTTGGAAAAGAACTTTTCATATGCAGTGTACAATGGACCACCACATGGTAAGATGGACCACAGTGGTCCGTCTTGCCCCAAATCTAAATTCTTTCTTTATCATGACGTATATGTCAAATAGCCCAACATTGCAAAACCTTGCCTTTCCTAAAGTGCGACTATAACTAAGTTTATAACTTTGTTCTTCACAGTAAAGTGCAAAATAGAAACTAATCATGCAAGAAAGGCGCCGTAATTGAATCACCCGTAGACATCTTATATTAGATCGGTTTGACGAAAAACAACATTTTTCTCAATAACTCAAAAGCTATGCATCCTAGCAGCATGAGCTCAAGGTGGCCATTGTTAGGAAGGAAAACAAACATAGTGAGTGCATAAAGCAGTAGATACCAGCAGCGGTTCAGCCGGGAGGGCTGGTGGTCCGTCTTGCCCCGCTGGGCCGTCTTACCCCACCTTCCCCTAGATATCAATATTACTCTCGCAATCCTAGACATGACGAAAACTCTTTCCTCCTGGGTATCGTGCCTCGTGTGCAGGTGGTCGTTTCATGCGTGAATCTTGTTTACCCTCGTGAAGATAATATTTGAAAGAGTATCAATCAGCCAATCAAAAACGAGATCGGCCGTTTGAAGGTTGAAGGCCGCGCGCGCATCTGTCAGTTTTCCGTAGTTGGTCTTCGAGGGAGGGTGTGAGCAGTGTCGGTGCGGCGCCACGTGGCCGTTGGTGATTGTGCTTGTGTGCTGTTCATCGCCTATAGAGCCTCTGCACGGACATTTTATTGTAAGTACCGATGTGATAGAGCATTGCGTGCTGTTGAGTGGTGCTTGTTTGATCTGGCTAACAGAACCCCGTGCACGGCCACGTGGCAGAGTGTTGTAAGTAGGTACATACATTTTGTTGTGATGCATTTTGTTGGCGACTTAGAAAAAGCCATGCACTGTAGTGATGCAGTTTAATTATCCCACGTAGACGGGCGACAATCCAGGAACGCTGCCGTTCACTTCAAATGTTGTGCGCTGTGCCTTATCCAATCCGTTGTTGTTTCGACAATACAGAGCATATTTATGAAGACAGTGAATGTTGGTTGGTTGTATTATAGGACTGCGTAGAGAATAGGTGTTAGTGTCTGGTATCCGTGTCATTGATGTGTAATGTTGCGCTCACCTTATATTTTTCATTGATAATTTAAAAAATTAGTGGGGATACAAATCCACTCTTCCGCCTAATTTTTAAATTTTCATGTCAAATAAGGTGCCTCCACGGAGAACACGATACGAGTTTACTCTGTATGGTAGGGTAAACCATTACCCTTGCAATGACTCCTTGCAAGAGTGTAAAATTTTCTCCGATGTGAAGGGTCAGTTGGATTTTTTACTATTCTCGTCGGGGTAAACACCCAAGGAGTACAATTATTTTACCCTACTGACGATATTTTAGGGGACGTGTTATTCTCGGGACGAGAGTAAATTGAAGAAGTTACCACCTGGGAAGGAGTAAATACAAAGTTTTTACCCTCTCGAGAGTGGTAAAAAACGTCTGTGGACGTCTTACTCTTTCCTGGAGGGTAAACTCCCCAGGAATGAGTATATTTACTCCATGGTGGTGGGTAAAATCAAAGTGTTACCTTTCAGCCAAGAGTAAAACAACGGATTTACCACCTGGGAAGGAGTAAATACAAAGTTTTTACCCTCTGGAGAGTGGTAAAAAACGTCTGTGGACACCTTACTCTTTCCTGGGGGGTAAACTCCCCGGGAAGGGATATATTTACTCCGTGGTGGTGGGTAATACCAAAGTGTTACCCTTAAGTCAAGAGTAAAATAACGGATTTATCCTCTGGAAGAGAATAAATTAGAAGAGTTTACCCCGCGGTAAGTGGTAAAAAACGTCTGCGTGCCTCGTACTCCCTCCCAGCGGATTTACTCTCCAGGGGAGAGTAAAAAAGTTTTCAGTGTGGTAACCTGACCTGAACTGACTGAGACCTGTAATTAAAAAAAAAAATGTGGCAAAAGGATGCCCAAAGGGTATGCTAAAAATGGCAGCGCTATGTCCCGCCGTTCTTACGTTATTTGCGAAAAAAAAACTTAGCGGGGTTGAATCAACCCTCTGGCCGGGCGAGGGTGAACCTGGACGCCTGGAATTGAGTAGCAGTCGTTGTGTTTTGTAGCGTCCCACACGTTCGTTTTTGCCCGAAGTTTGCGCTCAATTAAGGGCAAAAAACTAGGGGATCCCACCAACCCCACTCAGAGAAATATTTACCCTAAAAATATGGGTATTTCACGAGTACCAAATCGGTACTATATTTACGGGTCCTTTAACCCGCGCCGTGCTGGTGGCCTGAACTTTCCGCCGAGTGCTGGGGCAGAGGTCGATAAAATGCTTGGAGTTGCTCCAACGAACATCTTAGTCCCACCACTGTCTCCAACTTAGCCCTCGCCTGGCGGGGGGGGGGGGGGAGCAGCCTCCCTAGGTTTTTTTTCGTAAAAGTTGGTGTCGCGTAGCGCCGCAAAATTTGGCACAACGTCTGGGAATGAGCCTTTTTTGCTACCTATCCTGAAAATTCACTGCCATCCGCGCGGCGTCGGCACGGGTGTATATCAAATATGCGACAGTTCATTAGTGCAAATACTACACGAGTGCTACAGATTCAGAAGTGCGACTGCTCGTAAGTGCGATTAAGTGCTACAGGGAGCCTGACGCCATTAGGCCCTTAGGCGGTTCAAAAGTGCGATGGTTTTGATTGGCTAGCGGTCGACCAATGAGGCTGCCCGTTCCACTGTGCTTTGCCAGGTACACTCCTCAACAACGCGATAGGGACGAGGCCGGTGCCATCCACAGCCGCCAGACCCGCCCGGGCCGGACCATGCGGCTCGGGCCGGGCCCGAGCCGCATGGCTACTGGCGCTCGGGCCGGGTGGGTGCGATTCATGGTTTTAGGGCACCCGCGCTTCAGAGCTCAGCGGCACGGATGAGGGGAGGACAGCACCAGCCGCCGGGCCGGACCACGTGGAGCGCGGGCGGACCCGCTTGGGCCGGGTGGAGTATAGGGGGCCGGGGCAAGAGAAAGATCGGGATTGCAAATTCTGCAGGACGATTTGACGTTTGTTTATGTCTATGAAGTGTAAGAAAACAGGCAATTATATAGTAGGAGCTAAATAGAAATTGACAAGTGTCATTTTATCCTCATCGGAACACTGCCGTGTACAAACCAATGAACCAGTAGATAGTTAAGTGGATGAGGCCGAAATATTTTTTTAAGTTCTCACCTCACTGTAGCGCGAAACCAAACATGAAACATAATAGGCATAGCTAAATGTGTTGATGAAATTGGACTGAGAAAGCAAATGCAGTTTTTCGCAAATCGTTACTATGTAAGTCGTCATAAAATCGTTGATCGTAAGTAGCAACACGTAACCCTTTAATTGCGAGAATTAAATATTCCGACAAAACTTTCCCTGGTAGGTATTGTTCTCAGGACGTTTCCCTATGAAATTACTAATACTAGTTACCCTTATAGTAAACACTATTAAATTTCTGTTGTAGGCACCTACATGCACGGCCTACATAGCCTGTCAATTCACGGCGCCACAAATGAAGGTTTTCCATACTAAGCCACTTTTCTATGAGAACGACTTTGATATGCAGTATGCACTCGTAAGCTCGGCATTCTCCACACTCCAGTCTCCCTCTTTTCCATTTTCTGTGGAATTTGGTTTGAATGCGTGCCTCTACTGTGCCTCGTCTGTCCTTCCGCTGGCCGTCGCTGCGCCGGTCGATCGGCTCGGCGAGATGCATAAGCACTAGTAACTGCATAGGTGAACTCTAGGTAGGTATAGGTATACTAGGGTTACCCGCGTGCTCCGCAACGCGAAGGGTTATTTTTGACCCGTGGGTATTGGGTTGGTCTGTGTCGATTTGGTTGGTATCCATTTCGTTCGATTGCTTTTTGACGGCCAAGCATTTTGTAATAAAACAAAAAAAAAAATACATCGCATCGAGGTGCCCGTGTCGTATTTTCATGCGTTCTACTTTAGAATGATTCGAAAACTGTCGTGAAATCTGTTGAGGCCAATCGATGAATTTCACCGAATTTCACCAGGAATTTCACTAAAAATGACAATGTAATGGTATGGAACATTTACATTTTTAAGAATACTGTTGCTTATAATGCAAAAATGAAGATTAAACCTTGGACAGAATTGAATGCTCTTTCCAACTGAACCATTTTCAACTGCCAATTTGAAAACATTTTTTGTTGAGTTGTTCGGTACCTAGATAGGTAGGGGAGAGTGGTGCAGGAGGCCCCCCCTTAAGCTCAGTTGCTATTTTTAGACAACTGATAATATTTAAGAGCTAACGTGTGCATGCGCTGTGAGCATGCATCATTTTCCCATACATATTTGCATTCAAAATGAATCTAGGGGGTACACAAACCGTAAACTTTAACATTTTGGAAAAAGTTGCAAAAGGGCCTCTTACACTATGGGTATGGTAAGACGCCTCCCCCCCCCCTCGGGCGTTTAACAAGGCAAGTCGACTTGTAAAAGACGTTTTGCGAACACAGCTGCAAGGCCTTTTATTTCGAAAAGCTAAGCAAATACGGTGTTATCGAAACCAATAACACTTCCAAAGCGCTCGAACAATGCGAAAACTAGCACAACCAAACGCTGATGACCAACGAAAATTGTACCTATTACCTCTAGAAAAAGAAACAGAAAAAAAGAAACAAAAACAAACTCCTTGAAAAAAGAATGCCACGCCTGCCGCAGGTGCAGGCGTTTTAGCATCGGGGGCGTTTTTTATCGGGGGGGCGTTTTATAATCCTCGAAGGGAGGGCCTCTTAAAAAAATGCAGTGTTTTAACGTCACAATATTTATGGTTTATGAGACATTTGCAGCGCACCAGAACATGGTCTATTCTGAAGCTAACATGTGACAATTTCGATGAGATAAGATTGCATTTGATAGTCATTGTTTTTTCAGATATATAAGGGTGATAAAGATGCATATATCTAGCAAGTAAAGGGGCAAAAACAGAAACAGGCTTACCAAAAGTCGCTGCGACGCACCTGATACCTCAGGTTTCGTGAGTTGTTGTTTCAAGAGGGCTTCTGCTTTACAAGAACATTAAAAAATAAATAACATTATTGGTTTGGTAAAAAAAGCGATGGGGCCTCTTACCGACCCTGGGCGTCTTACACGGATCTCCCCTACATTTAAAAAGTGTCAGATGTATATAGGAGACACTCTGTATCAGCGGCGAATCAGTCGTTAAGCGCCGAAGGTAAGCGGAAACACGCTCCCGGGACATTGTCCCTGAAGCATAGGCAGATCCAGAAAGGCGGTCTCGGACGTTACGAATGGCGCATGCCATAACAGTTTCTTCAAATTAAAAAAAAATCATCGGATTTCGATTTCTCATGCATTGCTGTTCCCTTTTAATCGAGCTTTGTTTAGTAACAGTTATTTATTTTCTCTCTTTTAAAATAAACGGCAAATTTTATTTAGTTCGGCGCTGTGGCTGCGGGGAGGGCGATGACATAAGCCCCCAAATGCCCTCATATCCACCCCATGGATTCGCCAGCTATTCGGACACGGCTCAGCCCAATGAAGGATCTAAAAATTTTGACACAATATCTCCAGGAACCAGGGCCCAAATGAATGTTCAGAAAAAGGCACAACACGCGTATTGTGCCTTTTACTGAACGACGTGATATCCGCGGATATCACGTTCCTTGACCGTTTTTCTTTTTACAGAACTGACAAGGGGTTAATCGGTTCTCAAACTTTAATAGCTCATCGACGCGTGATAAGATGTGTCTGTCAGTGAGTGGAAAAAGGATCAGTTTTCTCAGGAACTTATATGCAAGTTGCTGTTTCATAATTGTCTTCTCGGATAGGCAAGTGATTACAAAGGAAATGCCCTACTACATTTTACGTGCATAAGGATGCGTCGTTTACCATGATAAATAGGAATGCCCTGCACCTGCTGGATAATCGGCTATGGATCGAGCCTGTTGGAAGAGTAGGTAAATTGATTTAGTAAATGAACCCGGTAGTTAATGCCTATCTCTATTTTACACCGTAATCAGACATGATGAATGGGACAAAATATTAAAAAAGTTAACTAGACTTGCGGAAAAGCCGCTGGACTAGAGCCGCTCAGTGGACCATTTACCTACTAAAAATGCATCGATCGGGAAAGGTTCGTGCCGTTTCGGGCAACACCACAACCCAGAACAGGGGGCACTCCTGAACAGCCCGGAAGCAGGCGTCACCTCTTGACAAATTCCAAGCGAGAAAACTGTGCCTGAATCATATAAGACGGATCCCGAAAGGTGGTCTCGGACGTAGCAAAGGGGGCATACCATAAATACTCTCCAAATTGAGGAAAATGCTTGCATTTTGACCTGGTATTCACTGCTGTGCAGTGTATAGTCGACTACAGAATGATGTTCCACTCCTCAGAAGCTATCAGTTGACCGGAGCGCTAAATTGTGCCGTTTATCACGCGATTGAGCGTGTTGATTGTGAGCATTGGGACAAAGCTATAATTTGTGAACTCAGCCCGTGTGATGCGGCACAGCCTACCACTCCAGGCACATAGTTGCCTGTGAAAAGTGGAACATCATTCTGTAGTCGTACAGTAGCAAAGCTTTGCCTAGTAAAAGTTGTTTGCCTCAGGGCTGCGGAGTCGATGGATTTTAGGGTGACTCCGACTCCGACTCCGGCTTCAAAAATCGACTCCGACTCCAACTCCGACTCCGACTCCGGACGTTTCGATTAACCCGCGCCCGGCTGGGGGTCCTGGATTTCCACGCCCTGCTGGGGGGGGGGGGTGTTTAAACACCCCCCCCCCTTGTAACTCGGCTCCTGGGCCACGTAGCGATACGCGGAAGGCGGCGTTCGAAAGAGCGTCAAAAATAATGACGAAATCACTTCGGTCAATTTTTTGGTCAGGTCAAAGGTCAGGTCACCAGAGGTCATTGAAGGCAAAATTTCGCCGATTTCCAGGTCGAATGTCGAAAATTTCCAAGAAGCCAACGCATACCTCGGGAACCAATAGAGCTACAGCGCAGCAGAAAAGCGCATTCGATAGGCCTATTAACGCCCTTTCTGAGTGATTTTCTCAGAGTTGACCTAACTTCAACGGTTTTGCCTGCAGGGGGCAAAAACTGCAAAAATAGCCGATTTTTTCGGAAACAGTTTTTCGGCAATAACTTTTGACCCAAGCCTTGTACGAGCTTACTTTTACCGGCATCGTGTTCCTCTCGTCAAGACGCATCGAATGAACTATAACTTGACCTTGAAAGGTCAACTTGAAAATTTGACCTCAGTTCAAGGTCATGACCTGACCGGAAAGGGTCATGTTGCATATCAGTCGATCCATATCGTCGAGCTGAACACATCTAAGGCGTTTTCATCGCTCTAGCATGCCTCTATCAAAAGTTATTTGCGAAAAACTGTTAGAAACCTACCATTTGTGACCTAAGATGACCTCAGGGCATAAACAAGGGTCACGGGCACCATTTATATTCATGTTCATTGTGTCTAAACCACTTGTAATTCGGTGTTTGGGAGTGTTTATAATGTCTTTCGTCCAAAAGAGGTGCATTTCAATTTTCTCCCATTGACTTATAGGTAATGGGGAGGTCGCAAAATTGACCTGACCTTAGGTCATCGATATCAAAATTCTGAGATAAACATTTTGTACATGCTATTGCTGTTAGCAATCGCTGAAAGTTTCAAAGCGATCGGTCACTCGGTGTAGCTATGACAGACATTGAAACTTTTTATGAGGTGAGGTCACTTCAAGTGACCTGGTGACCTGACCTTGAATGACCTTGGCCTTAAATTTTCACAACATGTGTAGAATTGATGTATGATAAGGTGTACCAAAAACGGCGGCGCTCCGCGCCGCCGTTTTTGCACAGCAGGGCGCGGGTTAATCCGCGCACCGACGGGGGGGCGGATATCCACCTCCTTAGGTTTTTCGTAGATAGCGGGAAAACCAAACCGCGGCGCGTAGCGCCGCGAAATTTGGCACGACTATTTTCTCATCAATGTTACACATGGTGTGCAAGTTGGAACCTCTTAACTTTTAAGGTCAGGTCATCAGGTCAATTTGAATGACTCAGCCTCAAGTCACTTTTTTGCAACTTTGACACCGTGCCACAGCTACAGTAGATGTCGAAGGCCTTTGAAAGTCGCTGGATGTTATAAACTCATTAGTAGCTACAATTTATGTATCTCGGAATTTTGATATCGATGACCTAAGGTCAGGTCAATTTCTCGATCTCCCCATTATAAGTCAATGGGGGAAAAAGCAACTCCCTGTTTTTACCACTAAAACGGGTCGGAATGGCCCCATAAACCATACATGAATTCATATACGATCAACCCTCACTACTTTGAGGTCTGTTTTGCTGTTGGGCAGCTGTAAGGTCTTGTGACGTCATCAAAGGTCACCAAATATTTTTTTAGGTACCAATAACTCCTTACAGGAACAAGATACAGCCGCGCGGATGGTCTCATTGAGTTCAGCTCGTCAAGGCGCATCGAATGATATACATGATGACCTCGAGGTCACGTGACCTGAGGTCAACCTTTGACCTTGACCTTTCGAGGTCAACATATACATCATTCGATGCGGATTGACGAGAGGATCACGATGATGCCCTTAGTTTGTTCCTATCTTGACTAGTTCGAAAGTGATTCGAGAAAAAAAACTATCCTTATCTAGCGCCGCCATTTTGACTTTTTTGACCCCTGTGACGTCATCTTTGACCTGACCTGAAAATGACCTTTGTAAAAATTGTAGACCTTGTCCGTGCGTATCCCATGCCGTTTACCGCTTGTCGCTATCTGGCTTCGTTCTCGAGATCTCAGGGGGGGGGGGGGCGGTCATCCGCCCCCCCCGTCGGTATGAAGTTGGCGCAGACCCCCGTCGGTGCGCGGGTTAAAATACATATCATCAGGGCCTCCTCTAAGGAATTTTCACTGGGGGGGGGGGGGCCGAGGCTCAGAAGTCAAACATAGGGTACCCCCAAATCCAGTTTTCTCATCGGATTTAGGCCACTTATTTTTCGTCACAGCCCTGATACCATGATTTTCATTTTAAATTTGAAAAACAATTGGTAGGCTACGGCACCCTACTGGTGGATCCAGGCGGCAGGGTCACATTTTAGGTACTTACCTAACGATCCCGGCAACGTCCGAAATCGACGAAAATTTCTGGCTTTTCGACTTTCGAGAATAAAACAAAATCCCTATATTATAGAAAAATTGTATTAAACGGCACGCAGTGCGTCAGGAATCTAACCAACCGCTAAAAGTGTGAGGGTCAATCTTTCCCACTAACACTGGAATCCATTAACCAACAGCTACCTGCCTGAAAACAGCTCACTAAGTCCTAAAAAGCTACCTGCCTGAAAATGACTTGAGAAACAGGCCACAGGTCAATAGTAATGAAGGCTAGGGACCAGGGTCATTTCAGGAAATGTGCAGCCAATTGATAATCACAAGAATACTTAAAGTTTTGCCACGCTGGGCCACTTTTTACGTGAGTTATTTACGAAAACCCTAGGGGTGGGTCTATCTAACGGCTAACCCCTCAATAAGTGTGAGGGCGTACCTATTGCTTCCAGTCCCAAACACCGGGGAATAAAAACTTTTCCCGTGCTCCACCGCGTTCTCATTTGACCGTAGCAAGATTTCCTCTTCAAGAATGAACCCGTCTCCCGAATAAAATAGTCCTCCGTGTAGCAGCGTGAGCGTTTGACTGATTGAGAGGGCGACCTTCCGGGACGCTTCCTTCTCAAAGGAATTCATCAATGGCCATGCCCCGTTCGGGCTTCAGTCGGTGTTCGATTATAAAAACTGCATTGTCTGACCTCATTCCGTGGCTCATCGTAGGCAACATGCGGATGTGAAATGTCCTTTGTAGATAAAAAAACAACGGTAGGTATAAGAAAACTAAAATTAGTAACGTGGTGATCGTGGAGATAGCCTGGAATCTGGATTGTTTGTGTGGTACGCTTTTAGTGAAATTTCCTCATTTTTCTACATTATTGGTTTAAATGTGTGGCCCCCCAGTGACGTGATTT